ATCCCGGACACAGGAACAGCCCCGGGATCGCCCTGGAACCATCGATGGGATTTGGGATGGGGCCGATCCCACCCACCCCTTCCCACCCCCGATCCCAAAATGGCCCCGATCCCGCAATTCCCGCTCCTCACCGCCCGGCCCGGAGCCCAAGGGCGGCATCGGCTCCTCCTCCTCCTCCTCCTCGGCTGCCTCGGGCGCTGGAAACCAAAACAGCGGGATCAGAGCAACCGATCCCATCCCAGGGGATCCCTGAGATCCCAAATCCCATCCCGAGGATCCCTGAGATCCCAAATCTTGTCCCGAGGATCCCAGAGAGTCAGGATTCCATTCCAGGGGATCCCTGAGATCCCAAATCCCATCCCAAGGATACCTGAGAGCTAGGATCCTGTCCTGAGGATCCCTGAAAGCCAGGATCCCATCCCAAGGATCCCTAAGATCCCAAATCCCATTCACAGGAACCCTGAGATCCCAAATCCCATTCCAGGGGATTTCTGAGATCCAAGATCCCATTCCAGGGGTTCCCAGAATCCCAGAGCACCTGGATCCCATTCCCAGGATCCCTGAGTTCCCAGATCCCATTCCCAGGATCCCTGGGGTCTCCCAGCCCGGCATTCCCAAGGAAAAGCCGGGAATCCACCCAGGATCCACGGCTGGCAAATCCCATGGGAACACATCCCAGGATCCAGCAGGAATCCTGGCACCCCAAAGGCTGAAATTTGGGGAATTTTGGGATTTGGGAAAAAAGTGGGAGATGGAGGCCGGGAGCGGCTCCTGGGATTCCCAACCATAAAAATCGTGGGAGCAAAGGAAAAATTCCCAAAATTAAAAAAAAAAAAAAAAAAAATTCCCGGTGCCCCTTCCTGGGTCAGGGTGGGAAATTTGGGATCTCCAGGGATGGCTCCCAGGGAATTCCTACATTCCCAAACATAAAAAGGAAAATTTCCCTGTGCTCCCATTCCGATGGAGAGAGGGGAAATTTGGGATGCTCCGGAAACGGCTCCCAGATCCCAGAGAATTCCTAAATTCCCAAACATTAAAAAAAAAAAAAAAAACAAAAAAATTCCTGGTTCCCCTCTCTAGGTCTAAGTGGAAAATTTGGGATGCCCAGGGATGGTTCCCAGATCCCAAGGAATTCCCATCCATAAAACCCCTGGGATGTCTCTTCCCACACTTCCCAGCATTCCCAAAATCCCAAAGCTCAGCATTCCCAAAATCTCAAAGCTCAGCATTCCCACGTGTCCCTCTGGATCCATCCCAAATTTTTTTTGGGGGGGCACAAATTCCCCCCTTCCCGCTCATCCCGAGGTTTTTCCTCTTTATGGGATTTATCCAGTTGGGATTTTTGGGATCTCGGGGTGGGATTTTGGGATCTCCCCACCTCCATGGATTTTTGGGATTGTCCCCGGTGGGATTTTGGAATTTCCCTCCCAGTGGATTTTTGGGATATCCCGGGTGGGTTTTTGGGATCTTTCCAGGTTGGTTTTTGGGATTATCTCGGGCGAGTTTTGGAATTTCTCCAAGTGGGTTTTGGGATTCACCCCAGTGGGATTTTAGGATTCTTCCAGGTGAGATTTTGGGATTCCTCGGGGTGGGTTTTTGGGATCCCCCGGGTGGGATTTTGGGATTCCCCCCTGTCGGTTTTGGGACCCCCAGGTGGGGTTTTTGGGATTCCCCCAGGTGGGTTTTTGGGATCGTCCCAGGTCGGTTCTTGGAATTATTCCGGGTGGGTTTGGGGATTCCCGAGTGGATTTTTAGGATTCCTCCGAGTGAGTTTTTGGAATTTCCCCCAGATGGGTTTTGGGACTGCCCTGTGGGGTTTTAGGATTATCCCAGGTGGGTTTTGGGGATTCTCCCGAGTGGGTGTTTGGAATGTCCCCCCCCTTCCCCCCCCACGCATTTTTGGGATCTTCCCAGGTCGGTTCTTGGAATTATCCCGGGTGGTTTTTTGGGATTATCCCGGGTGAGTTTTGGGGATCCCCCCCCCGAGTGGGATTTTGGGATTCTCCCCCGTGGGTTTTTAGGATCCCCCTCCGAAGGCGTTTTTTGGGATTCCCGGGTGGGATTTGGGGATTCCCGGGTGGGATTTGGGGATTCCCGGGTGGGATTTTTGGATTCCCGGCCCCCCCCGAGCCCCGAATCCCCCGGGATTGTCCCGCTCACCTCTCATCGCCCCCAGCCCGGGCCTCAGCGCCCCAATTCCCGCATCCGCCCTGGAATTCCTCTTCCCGCACGAGCTCCGGGAGCGGCTCCCCCGCGCCGGCCCCGCACCCCCAAAACTTCCCGGGGAGCGCCCGGAATTCCCGGCGGGATCATGCGGGACCAGCCGGGAAAAGCGGGAAGGGCGCGGGGCTGGACAGCGGCCACCAAAAACCGGGATTTGGGATCGCGGCTGGAAAAGGAGCGGCCGAGCCCGAGCCCGCCCCTAAGGAGGGGAAAGGGGCGGGAATTGGGAATGGGGA